CCCACCTTATTCACGGTTAGCCGCGAGATGGCGGCCGTTCCCCTATCCGCGACCTGGGGAAGCGCTCGGTAGCATACAGCTCTGCTCTTCCGAGAAGACGAGAGACATCCACTCTACCTAATCGCTCTGTGCATTTCTTTATATCTCCACGTCATCTGCTGGCCTCCAGTCTGCAACAGCCATTGCGAATAAGGCGCACTTCGGTCGGCGACCGTCGGACATACGCAAAATGTGTCCTAACCAACGGAGTCTATTGAGTTTAATTCGGTGCGATAGCGAGTTTTTGTTCGATTCATTTCCCAATACCCGACAACTTACTTCTACGTTACTAACCCGCTCACTCTATCCCTCTTGGGCCAGACTACGTAAGCATCGAAAACCATCACGCGACGGATGTCTTCTACCGGCAATTTCAAAATCTCGCAACCGTAAAGCAGAACTGATCGTACAGTGGCGCAATATACGCGACTTTTCAACTTCTATCAAACATCACGTCGCCACCATAAGTGTTTAAGTCCTGCGTACACTGCTCGAGCCTTAGAAATGCGGGCTGTTATCTCCTTTGATGCGCTACCAGCCGATCGACTGAATATACCTCAGACGACGGTACATTGCAGCAGATTGAAAACGATAACTGAGTCGTTTGGAAGTACTCTACCACGAAACAGCTTGTCTGTACCCGAAGGAGGTACCGATATGGAAGTGATTATAAGCTACCAGGAGGAATCGAGTGGGTACTGGGACATCATCTGTCCACCGAGAGGGAGGGGGTGGGGTTGATGTGCTAGCGACAGTTTTGCAGTGCCCAAGCGATGTTTACCGTATCTCTCTCACGTGCAAACCTTTGCATTCTCTGGAACACTCCTTTTCCAGAAATCAATTACGTTACTATCGAAGATCCTGGAGCAAAAACTTACTTGCCAAACCACCCAGAACACATGATTCTCTCGATTCCCCGTTGTAATATGTATGATCCCAAGTGGTTCACTTCCCAATATACACTCTGTTCCTCGGTGTATGTCTTCCCCGTTGTATCTCTCCGCGGTGCCAGTTGCGATGGTTTTCATCTGTTGAGCCCGAGTCAAGATCTATCTCTTGACTCCCCTTTTAACTGCTCATCGATCTATAAACCCACTTCCTTGTGTGCACTACAATATTTTATTAAGTTTTTCGCAGTAAAATAGAATTCGCAACATTCCGGGACTGCCTTTCATCTGCGCACAGACCAGTTTTTGCGGTCGTATTGTAGCCACGGAACCGATTGTCAAATGTGGCAAGTGAGTCGTTCATCGTCGATGCTGTTTCATATTTATTTCGTCAGAATCCTGTTGGAAGATTTAACAGAAGCGCTCGAACAAGTATCCTCTGTGAAACTGGATATTTTCCAGCACCTGTCGGACGTGTCACAAAGTGTCACCTGGCATGCAGAAGGCTCAAATGGCATTTGCCAATTTGGGACATGTATGACACCGTCGCCACACCCGGCTCTCCGTGAAGGATTGAGTGTGTGCTACCGCAGTTCAGTCATTTCTGCTGACTGACCTAGCCATTATGGGGACAGGATAAAGATAGATTGCTGGTGTTCGAAAATCGCTGTTCACGCCGCGTTGCACGAGTTTGGTGGGGAAATCCGACAAGCAATGGTGATGTTAGGCCCAGAGTTTTAGGTAACCACAGTTGTCTACTGGAGCAAGCAGTCGACCAAACAGTTGGTCATAGTGCGTACTGTTTGATGATGAAATACAGCGGATAGAAAAAGGTTAAGGGCGGTCGAACTAGTTGTTGGCACGGGAGTATGAAACCACTAACCAGGTGGCTGGGTCACAGGTGCCTTTTGGCTCCCTGACTGGGCACCTGGAGATAATGGTAACCGGTGGTTAGATATAGTGATATGGCTGAAGGACTCAAACGGTGGCTCAAGCACCCATTCAATTTCTTTGCAACATTAGTTCATGTTAATTCTCCGTCTTCTTTGATTCTGCTCCTAACGTTCTATTCTTCCTCTTTTTGTTTTATTCAAATGGGCACCAGAAAACAGCAGCCAAAACCGGCGCATAAAAATGCACAGTCAAGTTAAGGAAACCTAATCTGAAATTGTTTTGTAATCCATGATGGCCTGTGTTTGGTATGCTCTAAACAACTTACGGTACAACAGGCTCTAAAAAATGCAACAGGTCCATAATTTCGTCAACTGTGGAATTCCATATCTCGGTGGGGTTAACATTCTATTCACATCGCACCAGTTGTTTTAATCGCAATTCTGACTGGTAGCCGACGCCGTTCAGCGAATGACTGCGATTTCAATATTGACATCAAGACTATACCAGAGCGTTACAAAGTAGCCGAATATCACAAAATAAGCATTATTTGTTCAAAAGTAGAATCCGAAGAGGCAATGCGAGCTGTCAGTAAAAACTTGATTCAAATTCATTCACCTCTTTCTGTCCTTTTTGTTCTTATGGTACCTCGTGAATAGTTTTTCTTCCAAAGTTGCTCTGATACTAGACACGAATGACACACTTTCTGTTTGTAGAGCTCGAAGTGATGGTTTCCTTAACTTATTGGGATTTTGTGACGCTGTGGTTTTCCTCTACGATTGTATATCGTCTCATGCTATGCGGTAATATTCACAATAACGAATTAGCACTGCTCCTATTCCTGGTCTCTTTTCGTCCACAGATCGCGTTCTGGCGATTGATTGGCTGCCATGCGCGAGACATCTGAAAACATACCGGAAGTGTTGAAAGTAGTACGTTTTCTTTTTTCTGTGTACAAACCCTTCTATATTTCTCTCTTTGCTCACAGAAAAGATTGAATTCAGATGTTCATAATCCTTGCTATCTGGTATACATGAACGATTTGAATATCCTATTAGATTGTTGCATCGATACATCCTTGTTTTGCTTATTCATGCCCGATCATCCTCTGATCAGTTCGGGATGCTGTGACTTACCTCCCATGGGAAGGAAATCCACCTCACTCGGTGTAAGTTTATCAAATTTGTCATTATCCCTACCTGTCCAGCTGGTTACTGTGGGTGATGGTCGACCGTATTTGGATGCTGGACTAAAATTTTGTGTGATGGATGAAGAGCAGGTAGGCTTGTTCGTATTCCGTTGTCTGTTACATTCAGTTTGAATCAGTGATATGGGACACGGTGGATGTGATTTTGGTGTCAAACATTCGCAGCATTCTGGGACTGCCTTTCATCTGCGCACAGACCAGTTTTTGCGGTCGTATTTTAGCCACGGAACCGGTTGTCAAATTTGGCAAGTGAGTCTCGTTCATTATCGATGCTGTTTCATATTTATTTCGTCAGAATCCTGCTGGAAGATTTAACAGAAGCCCTCGAACAAGTATCCTCTGTGAAACCGGATATTTTTCAGCTAAATACGACTGCCAAGTGAGTAGCCAAACCCTGATGTTTGTGTTTATCACCTGTGCATGCGTACGTGGCTTTTAAGTTTCAGGGAAATTCCACTTAACACAAGTTATTCATTTTACCATTCACGGCTAATTCTGTTTGAGGCAAGCTATATGATCAGCAGACGGCTTACACCTCACAGTCCCAAAGGCCTGCTTCTCACTGGTGGAAACAGACAATCTAAGCCCCGGGGCTTGCTGCGGTGAACCATATA